AGTCAGAAACTGAGCCTGGAGTCCCAAGGACTTTTTTTCCTGTTTGCAGCAAAACTGTCTGAAGATGAGATTGCTTTTCATTTAAACTTTATTTCTAAGCTGATTTTGTTCTGTGAATTAAACTTCTCTAATCTTGTTATTCTGCATTCTCCTTACCGGTGCAGTGCTCAAAATATGGAAAGCATGGTATAAATGCAGCTATTATTACTATGTAATGAAAACACAAAAGCTATCCATTGACCAACCTTTTATTTTTTCCCTGCATTTCTAATAAATGTATCAGATCAATATCTAAGTGGTGACAAACAGCTATGTCCCTGCATTAAGTTTATGCCAGAACACCCTCATCACGACTGGTATTACTTTAAAGACTTTTCATCTGCATTCTCTGCAAAGAAACAGTTCTTATCATATTGGCTAGTCACCAGCCAAGTTCTTTTCCAGCGTTCACCGATGCGGACGAGAAATCAGCTATCTTGGGAATGCCACGTTAGACAGCAAGGGAAGAGTAACCTGCAGAAAAGAAAGAGAAGGAAGTCCCTTCCCTCTCGGTTTTGGCAACCATCACGTCGATCGTTCGGGTTTGTATACCATATGTTGCTTTTCATCGGGCTTTGTCCTTATAATGTCTTGTAAGGAACAAGCTCTTTGGCAATGAATAGAGTCTTTATATGCTTGGAAAACATTTCTAGCACGTTGTAGACACTATTGTAATATAAATACTCATTCTCTTCCAGTGTTTCCTTACCACCACCACTCTTTTCTGCAGCTTTGTCACTGCACGACAACCTTCATTAATTAAATTGTTTTGTGCCGCTGGTGAAGTGCTGTAATCACAAAATATGGCAAATGCTTCATACACCTAAGAGGGATTTTGTTGAACCTGGTAATTCTGTTGACCATGCTGGGGAACAGTACGTCAGGACAATTTGAAGTAGCTCAGCACACCAGCAAATGTAAAAACTAAGAACAAGAACTTTAACTGCATCCCAAAAGGCATGTGGGAAAGTGAGGGAAAGAACAAAAGACTTCTGAAGCCAAATTAGCCCATGGATTAATAACCATCATTAGGTTTTAGCCAGACACCATATTTGTACCTCAGTCCTTTTCTTATTTGTTTCGCAGTTGGACTACTGAGTTTCGAGTCTGCGACTTTCATCTCCATGATGTTTGCTGAAGGAGTATGCAACAAATGCAAAAGGTCTTTAACTCTTCGGTTTCTTTCTGGCAGAACATCACTGTTTGCATTTCTGAAGTTTTTGAAAACAACAGCCTTGACTCTCTTCTCATTTAGCCCAGCTGAACAACGCTGCAGGTCCGTGGAATTCAGTCGCCTGCATCTCAGTTTAAAGCAAGCCAGAGGAATGTCTAGTCTCGTATTTCTGACATACCTCATATTCCTTTAGTTAAAGAACAACTCTCATTAAGCCTAGATTAAATATCTCTCCACCTTATGCTCTGGATTTAAAACTCTTTTTTTAACCCACTTCTTTCTGCCTCTGCCGCTGTATTTTCCTCCCTTTAAGAGCAATGAGCAAAGAAACTACTAATCTGCAACTCTTATGTGGTTTTAGTTCCCAGCTTTTCCAGTTCATTTGGCTTTTTTTTTTAAAAAAAAAAAAAAAATCAGCCTTGGAGCTTGCTGATCACATTCACCTTGAAATCTCATCCTTCAGGCTTTCATGACCTTGTCCTCTCAGTACTACTTCTGCCTTTCCAACAATTCACGCTGTTTTTCCCTCTCGTTTTCTGTGTATGTACCACAGGCATTTGCAGCCTTGGCACACTTTGTTTCTCCTTTCACATCCTTCACGTAGTACACGCAGTGCCTAGCATTCCTCCAAGTCCTGTTGCTATGTCAGTTAATTTTAAATCCAGTTCTATGTAGAGAGATGATAAGAACCAAACCATTTTAACTGCGTGCATAAAGCCATCTCACTATGCTACGAGCATATTACAGTCTGAAGCCTCACAACAGCCTGAGAGGAGCGAAAGCATTACTATTTGTCTTCTACAGTGGCACAGAAAAGCTGATTTATCTAAAATCATACGAAAGCCTGTGGGTCACCAACCAGAGGATTCATTTCACCTTTCTACCTCCGGATGTGTACACTGGCTTGTGTTATTTGACAGATGAATGGACAGTGAGGTGGATTGAGAACTGGCTGAATGGCAGAGCTCAGAGGGTCGTCATCAGCGGCGCTGAGTCTAGTTGGAGGCCGGTAACTAGTGGTGTCCCTCAGGGGTCAGTACTGGGCCCAGCCTTGTTTAACTTCTTCATCAACGACCTGGATGAAGAGTTAGACTGTACTCTCAGCAAGTTTGCTGATGATACCAAACTGGGAGGAGCGGTAGATACACCAGCAGGCTGTGCTGCCATTCAGCACGACCTGGACAGGCTGGAAAGTTGGGCAGAGAGGAACCTGATGAGGTTCAACAAGGGCAAGTGTGGAGTCCTGCACCTGGGGAGGAACAACCCCA